TTTCACTGCATAAGGAGCGCCATCACTGAAGTGTGGGGTGCCTCAGGCCTTAGGAAAGGGCTTAGTGCCCTCTAGGGCCTTCGAGGCTTTCCTGCCAGCGATCCCAACCTCACCATAAAAGCACCTCCGCCCAGGAAGCCTTTCTGAACAAATCCCACTTGCTCTTAATTTCATTCTGAGACTGTGCAGAACCCATGTTCTTACTAAGGGTCTTTGGTCATTTCATGTGCCTCTCCAATTAGACTACAAGAATGCCCAAAGTGAGCGTCACGGCCTGGACTTTTTCGGTATTCCTCCAGTCTGGGACTCTGTACGTGTTAGATACACGGTGAATATTGCCGAGAGAGACTGTTTGTGGTTGAGCAGCTTCTGATGCATCTGAACAGAATATGGTCTGCAGACTAAATGCCATCAGTGTTGTTACACAGCAGAGTTAGGTAGAAAGCCAATTTATCACTAAAATGAATACACCCCCTGGAGGCTTGCTTGGTAAAATTTTGTAACACATACATTACTAGATGGCTTGGAGAACTTGGAATGCACAAAAATTCCAAAATAAGAGCTGGTGATCTCAGAGTCCGCGGTGAATCGAGGGTGTCTCAGCTCCCTGGCTCTCTATCCAGGACCATCTGGGCTCCCTCCCCTCTTCTGTCCTGTACTCTGTGCCAGGCCATCATTTTCCCGGCTCCTCTGCCCCCTTCTCCCACACCTCAACATGCAGTATTCTAGGCTCAGGAGGCTGGAACCCATCAACTCATCTCTCTTATACTCAGTAGCCACAATCTTGCTACTCAATTCTTCCAAACCTTAATTCTTTAAGACCCCTTCTGGAGATGCCGCCCAAAACCACTTCAAGGAGACTCATGGCACAGACCCCAGACCCCCACGGACGTCTACCTACTCTTTTTCTGGGCAGCTTCTCCTTTCTGTGCGCCAGGGCCTGTTCCAGTGAGGCTACTGAGCCAGGAGGCAGGCTTTGTGGGCCAGATGCAGTCAGCATTTAATAACAAAGGTGGAACAATGATCAAGAAAAGTAAATACACTATTAAGAAAAGCCTAAGGGTTGGAATTTGCCCAGCCTTCCTGTGACTGCAAATCCCTTTTAAAGTAACCTTTACCAGTTACCTCCAAAATAAGACTGGACAAGAATACTCTCAAAGATCCTTGCCAGTTCTATCATTTTATGAGTCTGTGAATACCTCTAAGAAAAAGAAATGCGAGCTTCTTAAGCTATGAGAATAATAAGAGAAACAGTAGGGGCGCTTTGGTATCAGTGTAACATAGAAAACAGAGAAGAGGAAGTGAAAGCTCCAAAGGATGTCCGTTAGGACTAGAGGGAGAGTGAAAGGAAGGCACAACCCTCTGCCTGCCGGTTCAAGGGACAGCGGGAGAGGATGCGGCTGGACTGCGCACCAGGGCATAACGGTGAAGCTGGCCCAGCTCTGAGGCATCTCCCCTTTAATCTCGCCCACGGGAGGTCTGTGTGTCCCACAACAGCAACCCCCACCCCCCGACTTCCCAGTGCTCAGGGAACATCTGGTCTGCTGTCTGCTTTGAATTGGGATGAAACAGATATACAGTCAACTTTCTGGATGGCCTGGGGTTAGGGAGGTGAAAAGAAAGGAGTGACTGACCATAAAGGCCTAAGGAGGAATGGAGAGAAGGAAGAAAAGGTAGCCCTGACTTGGCCATACAGCTTGGTTGCTTAGGGCAGCATCCTGACATGCCATGGTTGCAGGTCTGACCCCCGGTCAGGGCACATGCAAGAAGCAACCAGTGAGTGCATAAATAAATGAAACAACACATTGATGTTTCTGTCTCCCTTCCCCTCTCTCTCTAAAAATCAATCAATTAAAAAAAAAAAAAAGAATAAACGAGAACGGGTAGGCCCTTCACAGTCCTGGGTCCCTGCTGTGTGTGCCAGCACTTCTCTCTCTCTGAATCCTACCCTCTGGCATCAGGATGCTCCCTTTTTCCATATCCCTGAAATCTCCCTCCCTCACCTAGCTCTCCCAAGCTCTATTTTTCTCTTAAAGTTACTCCTTAGGCTTCAGACCCTCCTCCTTCCTTCACATATATCCACAGTCCCCCATTTATTTGTATTTATTCAAAAAATACCTGAGAGAAAGTCCGTTTTCAAGGAGCTCAAAGCTAGTGAGGGAGACAGCCAACTATGCAAATTAGGTTTCATTTGCTGAGGGCACGAAGAGGGGGATTTCAGGTTCTCCTTCCCCTCAGCTAGTCATATAAATCTTTTCAGTTCCTCAAACTTGGCCTTTCCACTTGTCGTTTCCTGAGTGGGACCCTCTCTTTTTACTTCTCTTCACCAGGCTAACTCCTAGTTACTCTTGTGCTTCCAATACGAAGCCTTTCCTGACTTCTCTCTATGCCCCGCCTTTCCCATCTCTGGGAGCGGGTGAACTAGTGCTCCTCACCCGGCCCCCAAAGCCCTGTACCTCGTCTATCGCGGCACCTACTACCCTGGATGATAACTAGGTTTGGTTTGGTTTTGCTTTTTTGTTGTTGTTGTTGTTGTTTCTAAACGATTTGTGAGCTCCAGGTGCACCGAGACCTGATCTCTCGCCCAGCCCTGTATCCCCAGCGTCCCGCACAGAGCTCTAGGCACACAGTAGGTTAAATGAATGGAGAGACCTGCTCGGGAGCCAGCAGCACCTTTCACCGCCAGAGTATTCTCCATAAACCCTGCCCCTCCAGCAAGACACTCCCGTGGGCCCCGCCCCTTCACCTTCGCATTTGCTGGGCAGCCGAACCCAGTCGGTCTCCTCGGCTTGGGCCTGGCTCGGGCCCAGCTCCGGGGTGGACAGTTGCAGCAGCAGGGGAAGAAGCAGAAGCAGAAGCCTGCGGGTCCCAGGCTGGGGTGCGGGCTCAGGCAAGGGCTCCATGGCCCAGCGGGACCCGACTCGGAGGGCTGCGCTTCCCACGGCTGCGCGTGCTGGGTGGCTTCTGGGAGCCGCTTCTGGCACTGCACACGTGCCCCGGCTTAACCCGGGCACCGGGGAGCCCCGGCCCGCACCCTCCTCCAGCCGCCGTGCCTGCCCCCGGAGCCGACGAAGGCCGATGGACTGCGCAGCCAATGGGCTTTTCGGGGTTCGTCCTCTAGCAAATGGAAGGATGATCTTTTCTCGGTTTGGACCAATAAAAGAGCGGATGGTGTCCTCAGTGACCAATGGCAACATCTTTCCCCACACCCTAACGGAGGCTCTGGGAGGGGCTAGGGGACTAAGACGCGGGGATAGGAAGCAGCCCGCAGGGCCTGAATCGGCGGGGGTGGGGCGTGCTGGTCCTAGAAGACTTGAGGAAAGCGGTCTTCACTGCCTTCTCCGCCTGCTTTCACGTCACTTCCCTGCTGGGGCCATAATGCAGCGAGAGCTCTTACTGAGCACCCGTTTTTAAATTTTATTATTATTATTTTTATTGCCAGCCAGTCTGGTAGGCGCTGTGAGTGAGAAGAGGGCGACTCAAACAGTCTCCAGCCTTTAAATAGCTTTCTTAATGCCCAAGGACCCTAGGTTTGTCCCAGTGAGAACTCGGAACACATCCCTTCCTACCTGAGCCTCAATTTCTAGCTATATGACGACCAAGTGATCTTTCTAGCGGCTATTCAAGGCTTGCCTGTTGCTTGGAAGTTCAGAAAGGTTAATGGACTTAAAGCTCATCGGGCAGATTGTAAAAAGTAAACGCATTAACTTTCTTTGTAGTGTGTAACGTTAGTCCTCTAATGCCCTATTATTTATTTCTTTGGATTCTGAGTTCCCAGAAGTCAAGGACTTCATTTATTAATACCTAGATCCAGGAGCCCTCCTGGAAAATAACAGTAAGCCAGTGTCAGTGGGGATTTATAGTTCGGAGCAGGGCAGGATTGGAGTAATTGGAACAAAATGGAGAGGGGTTTTGAAACTAAGGGAAACCCTGCTTCCAGAATGAGAGGACATTTACTGAGGCAAGAAGCTCAGCATCTGGACTGAAAGCTGGGAAGGGGTGATGACTGGATAAAGTCTGAGGCCGTGACTAGACGTGCCCCCTCCCTGACCCAGCCTCCGCCCTTCTCAGTCTGATTGTCAGGGAAGGATCAGGCCCTGTGGGCATGGTGGACAGATTCACCCCTAGAGGTTGTGGGACACTCCCACCCACCCCAAATACTCCAAAAAGAGGTGGAGGAATCTTCCCACAGGTTGGTGAGAGGTGGGCAGTGGAGGAGACTGAGGGTTTTCATGGGCCAGCAGCTCAGAGGGCACAGAAGCTCAAGAAGCTGGAGGTGTCATTGACACCACATGGGGGGTGGGCAGTGTTAAGAGCATAGTTCTCCTCCTACACCTTGGGGGAAGGTGAAGGTAGCACCATTTATCCAGTAAATGTCCTGTGCTGCCCAGGGGACATTTAGATTCACGTGAAAGCACCCAGAGATTCTTGGGCTGGTTACTGAGAGGAACCTCTGGGAAAGGCTGGATTTCCTGGCAGTGCTGGAGAAACGGGGGACACGAAGGTTACACTCCACTCCAGGAGCCTCATAGTCTGTCAGTGCAAAAACCCTCTTTAGGAAACAAAACAAAACAAAAACCTCTGTAGTACCTGGCTCGGAGTTGTTGCTCAGTAAATGTTTGTGAAATGAATAATGACCCTTAATTGATTCATAATGTGTAAGTTTGGAATTACCATCAGAGCTCTTGGCATTGGACAGACCCCCGTTACTCTGGGATCCTGGCCCTGTTCGTGGCTTCCTGGGCTCCTTGCCCTGACCTCTCAAGGCGTTGCGTTGGGCCAGGGTGAGGAGACAGAAGGGGCCTTGTCCCATGCCTGGCTGTGGCGCAAGGAGACAGAGGAGGGATAGAGTCCTCCTCAACCCCTAGCCCCACTCTGCAATTCCTAGGGTCTTGCCCTCAGTAAACCCTCTTCCCCAGGGCAGCCTTCCCAGATTTCTGCCCCCTTGAAATCTGCTAAATTCCCTCCTCCCAGAGAAGACATGAATTAAAATACATATATTTTTTTTCATTTGCTTGTGCCGCTTAAATTCTCCTTTAATAGTCCTCAGTTATCTGCACCTCACAGGTCCCAGTGCCTGGGTCAGTCACAGCCCTCCAGGGGCTCCCAGTCTGATGAGAGACCCGCAGCCTTTTCTCTCAGAAGGGTCTCGGTCGGAAGGTGGAGACAGCCTCGCCCCTAGGAAGTTCTGGGCTGCGGGAGGAGGCAGGTCACACACAAATCTTCCAAGGCAAGAGGTAGGGAACCTGGGCGCGGGTCCTGAGCACCAGGCCCAGGCTGGGTGGGTGGAGAGTGCCCCCTCCTCCCAGACTGGGCTCCTGCTGGGATGCGGACCCGGACCCGGAGGGCGAGTGTGAACCCTGCAGCCGGCCCCAGGCTGCCCTTGGCCTGCGATGCCCCTTTCACTGCGGTGACTCCAGTCGGTGCGAGCGCAGGGTTCTGCTGGCGGCCGACGCTGCGGGCCCAGGGCAGGGGTGGAGAAGCCGGGGTCCAGCGGGCGGGACTCCCCAGGCGGGTGCCCCCAGGCGGCGGTATGGGCGCGGAGGCGGCTGCAGGTCAGGAGCAGGTCAAATAGCAGCAGCTTGAACAGCAGCAGCCGTAACGCCCCGAGCCGCAGTACCTCGTCCGGAGTCCCTGCGGGAGGGAGAAGGAGAGGCTGAGAGCCTGCGGGCTCCTCACAACCCGCCGCCCCCAGCGTTCACCTGATAAGAGGGCTTTGTCTTCTGCTCTTGCCGCTCCTCCTCTGTGACGTCCCCCAAATTCAGGGAAAGTCCTTCCTGGTGTCTAACCTCAACTCTTACTGGTAACAATAACAAATATGTGCCTAGCCTTTATTTTATTTTATTCCTCCAAAACCAGGGGGATGTAGGCCAAGCAGGAATCAGCATTCGGTGCAAAGAGGAACCAGCTCAAAAGTCTTATTCGGTCAGGAAGAGAACCCGATTGGTGACTCTCTGTCCAGCGGGTGGTGGGACTTTCCACCACCCAGACACTCTCCCAAGAGTCTCCCAAGGCTCTGATGCTGAGACTGTTCATCTAGGCTGTCCAAGGAGAGCTTCAAGAACCCTTCTGTCTGCTCTCACCTGTGCTTCCCATTCGGTGTCCGGGAATTGGGCTGGGGTCAGAGGATCTCCCACACTGGTGGACAGAGACCCTGGCTGTCCAGTGCACCAGCCCAACAAGGCAGCCTCGGAGGGAACACCTCCCATCCCCCAGTAGGACCCGTCAGGCCAGAGCCCAACAGAGCCCGAGGTCCTGGTCCCCAGTACTCACCTGTAAGGGGTTCCCAGAGGCAGGTCCTAGCTGAGGGAATCTCTCCTGCCAGCCAAGGAGAAGGGAGTGAGATTTGGGGTGGGCTGTGCCCCAGCCCCAAAGCAGTGCAGTGTTCTTGGCATGTTGGGTGGACGGAGGAATCAGCCAGCAGTGGGGACCCTGAGCTCCTTGGCTGCAAGTCCTGGAGGGGCCCAGGTCTCCCTCACTCCCTTCTGTCCCCGGTTCTGTTCCTCCCCCCGCCCCTCCCCTGCCAAGGCTGAGGTGCCTGAGCACTTTTAGACATGGAATGGATCTTCTCAGCAGCCTTCTTTGGAAGGCAGGGCATTTGTTCAACAAACATTGCAATTTGGAAGGTCACAAAACTAACATAATCCAAAAAAGAGGAAGTCAGTCATCTGGTTATTAATAAAGTAATAATAATGGCCGGATTTGACATATTACTTAACTTCTCTGTGCCTGTAAAATGAGAAAAATTATATGACCTACTTCATAAATGTAAAGTGTTTGCAATAGTGCCCGGCACAGAGTAACACTGATTAAGTAAGTGGTAGCATTTTATTATTTAATTATGGTTTAGTTCTAATAGGTAGGGTGTCGTATATAGGGTGATACATAGATACTAATCCTATATATATATATATATATATATATATATAGAGAGAGAGAGAGAGAGAGAGAGAGAGAGAGAGAGTTTAGCCCTAGGTAATAGGGCATATATATATATATATATTTATATATATATATATTTTGACGTGTGTGTATATATGTACATACAAATATATGTATATGCCTTGATATATACCTCAATCCCAGGAGAAAGGAGGCATTATTACCTCTCAGAAGTCATGCATCAGAGGCTGGAGTTGAACGAGATATCACAGTCACAAATCCCAGGACTCAGGGCCCCGAGGTGACCCTGCCCTGGACCCAGGCATCACTTCATCTAGATGGCTGGCATTGGACACCCTTCGTGCCCCCATGGTGTGGCCCTGCCTTCCCTCCCACCATGCCCTGGTTCCAGGGTGTGTGAAAGGGGTAGAGAGCACCCACAGAGCCCCAGGCGCCATCCCCACCTGACAGCAGTAGGGGCTGTGTGCTCTGGCTGTGGTCCCCAGCCCCAGCCCCGGTGTGGCAGACCAAGGTTTCCCAGGATGCCAGCTCGTCAGAAGGCAGGGACAGCTGGGCCAGGCTAGTCCAGGTACCGTCCGCGGCTGGGGAAGGGCCGTAGGTGAAGGCATCCAGTGCACTGCCATTGCCAGCTGAGAACCAGATGGGGCTCTCAAGGCCAGGGGGAGCAACATCAAGGACCAGGCAGACCACCAGCATCTGCTGCTTCCCGTCCACCAGCAGTGTGATTGGGGGAGCCAGAGAGGGGAAGGGTGTGCCGCCCACACCTGTAAGAAAGCACGTGCCTGTGGGGGACTGGATCTGTCCGTGCCTCCCCCTGCACCCCCACCCAGGCCAGTCTCTCACTGTAGGTCTCTGTGCTTCCATCTGTCCTTTTGCCACCCATCTATCTGTCCATCTTCTCAACCATCCCTCTCTCCTTGCATTTCTCCATCTAAACACCCTTCCTTCCCTCCATCCTTTTATTCACCAATCTGCTCACCCATCCTTTCTTCCCTCACCCGTGTTTCCTACATCTGTTGTACTTTCCATCTCTATGTCCATCCATCCATCGGTCCATCTGTCCATCTGTTCATCCACCCATTCCATCTTTTCATCACCTCTCTGTCATATTTGAACCTGTCCATGCAAGGCACTGGGGATACATCAATTAATATATTGTCCCTGCTTTCACGGAACTCAGTCTCATGGAAAGACAGCAGATGCATAAACACACCATACCCTGTTGTGCCAGCCTCAGGAGAGAGGTTGCCTCTGGGGAGGAAGGCAAGGAAACGTGATCTGGAACGAGATCAAAGGGGCTTCAAAAGTAGCTGTAGCTTTTTTGTTTCTTTAAAAACAAAACAAAGCAAAGCAAAAGAAAACAAGACAAAACAAAACCAGCCCTGACCAGCGTGGCTCAGTGGGTTGGCATCATCCCACAGACTGCAAACCGAAAATTTGCCAGTTTGATTCCCAGTCAGGGCACATGCTTAACTCGTGGGCCAGGTCCCCTCCTGGGGACATGCCGGAGGCAGCCCATCCACGTTTCTCTGGCACACTTTTTTCTCTCCCTCCCTTCCTTCCCCTCTCTTTAAAAATAAATAAATATGCCCTGGCTGGCATAGCTCAGTGGATTGAGCATGGGCTGCGAACCAAAGCATCGCAGGTTCTATTCCCAGTCAGGGCACATGCCTGGGTTGCAGGCCACGGCCCCCAGCAACCACACATTGATGTTTCTCTCTCTCTTTCTCCCTCCCTTCCCTCTCTAAAAATAAATAAATAAAATTATAAATAAATAAATAAATACAATCTTTAAACAAACAAGCAAACAAACACCCAACTCACTTTCCCCCACAGGCATGCACCTCCTAAACTCTAAGGGTCCCCACGAAACTTGCAACCTGGGGAGCGGTGAGTGGCACAGCTCCCCCTGGGCTGACCCCCTGAGCCTGTCTCCAAGGCCCCTTGTCTCAGACTTCCCAGTGAGCTGAGACAGCCCCACCCAGGTGCTCCTGTTGCTGCTTCTATGCTAGGCCCTTCCTTGTTTCAGTGCTCCCAGCTTTAATAAACACATTCTCAAAAATAAAAAAAAAATAAATACAATTAAATATATAAGTTTGATTCAAATAGGCAGGATTTTAACCATTTGTTAATCTAGGTGGAGTATGTACAGGTGTTTATTGTATTATTCTAGATTGTATTCTGTAAGTCTGTAGTGTGTGTGTTTTTTAATACAGTATGTTTATTGATTTCAGAGAGAAAGGAAGGGGGAGAGAGAGAAACATCGATTGCTTGCCTCCCATATGCACCCTGAACGGAGATTGAACCCGCAACCTAGGTGTGTGCTCTGACCAGGAACTAGCCCCCCCACCTCTTGGTGCACAGGATGATGTTCCACTCAGCTGAGCCACACCAGCCAGGGCTGCAGTGTTTTGTTTTGTCTTTTACCAGCTGTGTCTAGATATAATTCATATACTGTACAAGCCACCTATTTAAAGGGCATGTCTGTACTATTTCATAATTAAAAAAACAAAAACAAGTCCTATAGACCCTGCAAACCTCTGTCCTATATTTTCCCTAATAGCCCTTATTTTCCATAAACTTATTCTTTTCAGCAAAGAGGACTCATTTAACATATAACAAGATGTTATTTTTGTCCCTGGCTGGTATAGCTCAGTGGATTGAGCATGGGCTGCAAACCAAAGGGTCGCCAGTTCAATTCCCAGTCAGGGCACATGCCTGGGTTGCAGGCCAGGTCCCCAGTGGGCGCCGCGTGAGAGGCAACCACACATTGATGTTTCTCTCTCACTTCCTCCCTTCCCATCTCTCTACAAATAAATAAATAAAATCTTTTTAAAAAGATGTTATTTTTGAATAGTTGGATATTTGTTCATGTAAATTAAACCTTAAAGGTGAAAACCTCCAAACAAATTAAAGCTGTGATTAAGTGCACCAAGGGCAAAGAGATGCCAAAGATGCAGGAAGGGTGCCAGGGTACCTTGTGGGGTTGTGGGGGGTGCTCATGTGAGATTTCCTGAAGGTCAAATAACCGACCTAGTAGCACACGGGTGGTAAGTAGCCCACTCAAGATTTGAACGATCTCTGACTCCAGACCCCACCCATCACTCCACCTGGAAGGATGACTGAGATTTTGCTAGTAACACGGTGGGCCAAGCCTGGGTTGTGGCCTCAGACAGAGTTGGTTTGTCTCATTCACTCAATATACTGAGTCTAAAGATCCCATCAATAGCGTGGGGTTGATAACGCCAGCCCCACAAGAGTGTTGTGAAGAATAAAGTTCATGAACGTGAAACACTGTGGAGACGAGTAGTCATATTATTATCAACACCAGTGTTAGGAAGGTATCACTAACCGAGGGCGCAAACAGGGCTGGGTGTGAGCTCCAAGAACCACAACTGGAGCCTTTCAGTTACACGGACAGAGACACTCCCCAAGTGAAGTTAAGCATCTACCTCCTCCACAAAGCCTCCCAGGATTGCTCCTCCTAACCCTGGCTGCTTCCTCGCCAGAGCTCAGGCCTTCTGCATTGGGCATGCCCTGTTCCACATCAGTGTGGCTCGTCTCCTTAGGAGGAAGAGCTGGTGGCACGCTGGGGGCCAGCTTTAGCTCAAGGAGATGTCCTAATGCAATGGTCAAGGACTTCCCCTCACCTCACATGTACAAATATTCATATGCTTCTAGATTAAGCTGGAATTCTCAAAATTTGAGTCCTTTGGTTCCAGCATTGATCTTTGGAGGACTGGGGGTAAGTATACCTGGGAAGTAAGGAGGCCTTGGGACTTCTCCTGAGAGCCATTGATAAGAGGGAGCTGGGAGTGGACAGGAGACACTCTGAGCCCTGTTGGGATAGGACATGCTGAGGGCAGGAGACCTGGACTGGAAGGACAGGAGAGGACCTTACCAGGTTGCCCATGTCCCATCACCCTATATCACATAATAGAGCCCTGGCTAACCCACCTTGACGCCCATGGACACCCATCCAGCTTGCTCTTGTTTCTCTGTACCTCCAAGAGGCGACCACTCTCCCTGCAAACACTGTGGGCTCCAGGGGAGCAGGACTTGGGACCCCTGAGCAAGGTAGCTGGGAGGCAGAGTACGATGGGGAAGGGGAAGATGGCCTTCTGGTGAGACCCTCTCCAGGCGGCCCCAAAGGCCCCTCTGTTCTGCCTCCCTTCATCTCACCCACACCCGGAGGCCCAGAGGGAGTGGGGCTTGGGGCAGAGGAGTAGGGCACAGAGAAGGATGCAGGGAGGGGACTCACCTGTAGGCAGGGCTGGACACCCGAGGGCCAGGAGAAGCAGCAGCCAAGTCCCAGCCATGGCCCACCTGAGAGGAGGCAGGACACAGCTGCAGACCTGAGGTGTGGGCTGGGGGAGGAGGCACCCACAAGACTGCCTCCCAGGCCACAGGCCCAGCTGCACCTCAGCTGCTCCACCACGGAGCCGTTTCCCTCTCGAGGGGCCCCTCCCACTCCACCCCAGCCCCCAAACCTGATTCTCTCTCACAGGGCCAGGAAACTCAGGGCACCCCTCCCACAGCAGCAGCTGCGTGCTCACACTCCCTCCCATCTGAAGAGCCTTTTCCCAGTCACCGGCCCTGCCATCTACAGGACACAAAGCGTGAGGTAGTATGTCAAGGACTTAATACACAGCATTTCATTCCGTCCGCCCAATGGCTGTGGGCTCTGTCTCACAGGTGAGGCACCTGGGGCTCAGAGAGACTGAGTGGCCTGTCCAGGGCCGTGTGGCTGGCAGGCGGCAGAGCCAGGGCTTGAACTGTCTCTTGATGGCTGGCTCTATCGTAGCCAAACAGCCCGGTGAACTTATTTCCGTGTTATCTCACCGCCCCTTTGAAGCAGAATTTATTTTTCTTAGAATAGTTTCAAGTTCACAGCAAAACTGAGCAGAAGGTCCAAAGATTTCCCATATATTCCTTGCACTGTCACATAAACCCCCCCTTTAAAAAATTTACTTTTTATAAATGACATTTTCAATGGCTCCACAAATTTTAGCTAGGTGTCATTTAGACCCTAAAACTTCCCACCTAGGTATATACCCTAATGAAATAATAAGAGATTCGGTCATTACAAGACAAAGATTTATGCACAAAAGTGTTCTTTGAAGTGTTACATTTAAAAAGCAACTGGAAGCAACCTAACTGTTCGATGCTAGGGGAAGGGTTACATGAATTCATGTTCCGTGTATTTGTATTAGTGAATATTAGGCAGCAGCTTCAAATCAGGTTTTCAAAGAAGGTTGTTTTTTCTTTTCACTTCTTTATTGAATTTACTGTGGTGCATTGGCTTTACAGGCTTTAGGTGCCCAGTTCTAGAACACATCATGTGTATATATTGTGTTGTGTTCACCACCCTAAGTCTGCTTCCACAGCTGTTTATCCCCTGTACATCTTCTACCTCCCCTCACCGCCCCCCCTCCCCCCCACACAGAGTGTTTCATGACAGGCGATACAGGATAGAGTTTGGTTCAGAGAGTGTGTTGCGAAGGCAGCATGCCTGGCTCTCAGCCCTGACTAGGTCACTCAGGAGTCGTGTGACTTTCACCAAATTACTTACTTCCCTAATTCTCAATTTCCTCATCTACGATGGGGATGGCAATACCTCAAATGGTCCTGTGATATTTAAACAAGATAAACCTCGGAGAGGATTTAGCACCATTCTTTATATGACACGTTCTTGAATAATAGTGTTCGTTCAATGTTGTTTCCTTATAACATTAATGAGGAAATAAAATTATTTTCGGCGGGGCCACTGTCTGTGTAGTTTGCCTGGGTTTTCTCCAGGGACTCAGGTTTCTTCCCGCATCCCAAAGGTGGGGTGAATTGGGTGTCTACGTTGTCTCAGTCTGAGTGAGTGTGGGTGCCCGAGATTCGCCCTGCATTGGAAGGGTGGCCTGCCCGGGGTGTCCGTCCTCCTGGTGCCCTGGGCTGCTGGGATGGTCTCTGGCCAACTGTGACTCTGAACTGGAATAAGCAGGATGGAAAATAATTATCTCATTTGTTTTTTACTAATCTTTTTAAAACCTATGTATACTTCATATTTATTTCAACATTTAACATTAGAAGTGTCTTGGGTCTTAGAATTTTTGTGATGCTTTTGTGACCACAAATATGCCACAGGAACACAACCCTTGTTTATGTCACTTAGCCTGTGGGGACACTGGTTTCCCAACACGCCATTTCACTGTAAGTTGTATTGATGTTGAGCACCTACAGTGCATAGTAAGAAGTCATAACCGTCCCCTCTTCATATGTGTGTGCACATACCTACATACACAGAAAGTTGAAACGACGGGATACAAATCTAAGTAGACTCTATATTCCCAATTTTGTATAAGAAAGATATAACTATTCCTAGAAGGAAGCAGACGAAATGTTAGAAATGTAATCTCTGCATGTTAGGATTTTGGATAGTTTTTTATTTTCATTTTTAGAATTGTTTATTTCTCATATTTTCTACAGTGAATCTGTATCATTTTAAATCACAACATAAAACGTTATTAAAAAGAAAACTACAGATGTACTATAGTTTGTTCAGCTGTTCCTTTATTATTAAACATTTGGGTTTTCCAGTTTGGGGCAATGGATATATCTTTGCTCATAAAGAATTTTCCTTAAAATTATTGGCTTAAAGGCCTTTGATGCTTTGAATTAACTTAAAAATTTTAAGTTGTAGTAAAGTACACATAACATAAAATTCGCCCTCTTATCCATTTTGAAGCGCACAGCGCAGGGGCATGGAGCACCTCCACCAAGGCTCCCCCTAAACAACTCAGTTCCCCATGCCTTCTCCCCCCGCCCAGCCGCCCCCCACCCCCCACCCCCCACCCCCCACCCCCAACCCGCCCTGCCGCCTCCGCCTGGCCATCCAGCAATCATCTTTCTGTCTCTGTAAATTCGACTACCTCGTTAAAGAGGAGCCATAAAGAATTTGTATTTTTGTGCCTGGTTTATTTCATTTAGCATGATGTCACCAAGGTTCATCTGTGTTGTAGCCTGTGTCAGGGTTTCCTTTCTTTTTAACGCTAAATAATATTCCATTGTCTGTATATGCTACATTTTGCTTCTTATCCACGCATTTCTCAATGCACATTCCTCAGTGGTTGCTTCTGCATTTTAGCTGCTGTGAATACCACCACTGTGGACGTGGGCCACGGATACCTCATCACGCCCTGCTTTCCACTCCCTCGTGTGTACGCCCAGAAGTAGAATTGCTGGAGCACTTGTTTTCAATTTTATTTTTTCTAAAGAGTTTATTTATTTATTTATTTTTTTTTTCTAAACATCAATGTGTGGTTGCTGGGGTTCATGGCCTGCAACCCAGGCATGTGCCCTGACTGGGAATCGAACCTGAGACACTTTGGTTCACAGCCTGTGCTCAATCCACTGAGCCATGCCAGCCAGGGCTGTTTATTTATTTTTAGAGACAGGGGAAGAGAAGGAGGAGGAGAGGGAGAGAAACATCAATGTGTGGTTGCCTCTCAAGCACACCCCACGGGGGACCTGGCCCACAACCCAGGCATGTGCCCTGACTGGGAATCCAACCTGCGACCCTTTGGTTCACAGCCTGAGCTCAATCCACTGAGCTACACCAGCCAGGGCTATTTTTTATTTTAATTGATAAAGGCCATCCTAATGGGCATGAAGTGGTACCTCACTATGTTTTTTTTTATGTTTTTTAATTACCGATTTTAGCAGGGGGAGACAAGCATTGATTTGTTGTTCCACTTGTTCATGGATTCACAGGCTGATTCTTGCATATGCGCTGATGGGAAAGTGAGCCCACCACCCCAGAGTATCGGGACAACATTTTAACCAACTGAACTAGCCAACTAGGGCTCTGTCTGGTTTCAGTTTGCATATCCCTAACGATTAGTGATTTTGAGCATCTAAGGCCTCTGTATTTCAAGGCTCCCTGACACAAATCTGCTGTATTAGCTTATACTCTACTATAATGCACTAAAGGCCCGCTTCATCCCCATCAGCATTTGGCATTTCCTGGGGGAAAAAATCCTAGTTTAGTTAAAAGTGGTACATCCCCTCTCTGACCACAACACCATTCTCCCACTCAGTCATTCCCTCCCCTGTGCGGTCTGTGCATTGCCCTCCTGCAGCCCCAGCGTCGCGGTGGGAACTCTAGCTCCCTAAGGACGCCAGCCCCTTGTGCGCTGCACTTGGCTGGAGCCTTTCCCCATTCACTGACGACTCTTAACTTCATTTTTCTTTTCTAAACCTGCAGTTTTTTGTTTTGTGTGAACCGACATATTCATCTGCCCTATTGGGATTTCTCTCATGACTTTGAAGCCTAGCAGACACCCCCCCCGCCCCCCCCCCGGCACTTTACAGAACCGTAGGAGACTTGCTTCTTTGTCCTTCCGTGTGCCTGTAGTTTAATCCCTGCTCCCTCTATCCCAGATTTAATGCCATCAGGGATTAATTTTGGTGAATGAAAAATGTACATCTGAAGTTTTTTTTTCCCAAAGAGCTAACCAATTATCACAGGATTATTAACTGAAAGATTCTTCCTGTCCCCATTATTTGAAAAACATTTTTTTATTACGTGTTAATGTCTTTTACATGGGCAGGTTCATGTCTTCTGGGCTCCAATTTCTTTATTCTGGGGCTAGCTTCACTCAATTTTCTTTTGATTATTTTAATCAAAATAATAATCATGTCGATTACACTCTCAGATGTCCTGAGGGAACCTCTCAGCCAGGGCTTCCCTCCCGCCCCTCCCCGCAGGGCAGCCTGGAAGCCTCGGGCGCCACGTGTTCCCAGGCGCTGCCCGGCCCAGCTGTGGGTTCCTGCTGGGAGGGGCAGGAGGGAGGCAGGCAGGTGTCCCTAACGACTCTCCCACCCTGCAGCCTGGGGAGGTCTTGGCCCGGCTCCCTCACCACATTACAGGTGGGGAGGAGCCTGCTGGCCTCTTTTGGTTTCAAGACCTTCCCAAGGAGAGGAAGGTGGAGACCCCACTGATCACTTGGGCCACCTCGGGGCCCTTGCACTGGCCCACCCCAGCTCCCTGACCAGAGGTCTGGCTGGAAGCGTTCTTTGTCTGTTCTCACACACGTTCCCTCCTTCCAGGCTCCCCAGCTGGTCCTAAAGAGGCCCGCCCTCAGGGCAGGGGGCGGATATCCTGAGCTGCTGTCAGATCCTGGAGCTGAATTCCTTCCCTGAGCTCCTCACCTGGGACTGAATTTGCCACTTGCCCCCGGCCCTAAGAGAGAGGCTGTGTTCACAGACATCTCGCTTAATCCTCACAGCCACCCCCTCATCAGGGTATTTTCATCCCTGTATTGCAGTCAAGGAGACCGGCGCTCAGAACAAGTAGGTTGTGTGGCAGTTGGAGTCCCCACTGG